GACATCAACTGCTCTACCCCTGTCCATCAATTCTGTAGCCCCATCATAGAAGGCCACCAAATTGGTCAGGCAGGATTTCCCCTTAGTGAAGCCATGCTGGCTGTCACCAAGCACCTCGTTGATTTTCATGTGCCTTAGCATGCCATCCAGGAGAATCTGCTCCAAGATTTTGCCAGGCACAGAGGTGAGAATGTCTGGTCTGTAATTCCCTGGGTCATCCATTTTCCCCTTCTTGAAAATGGGGGTTATATTTTCCTTTTTCCAGTCATTGGGAACTTCACCTGACTGCCATGATTTTTCAAATATGATGGCCAGCGGCTTCGCAACTTCATTTGCCTTCATTGTTTTACCTGGATACACCTTTCCAGAAAAGGTCCTAAAGCTCAGTAAGAAATGAAAGAAAAAGCACACCCAAATATATGCTAACATAAGGAATATGTAACGTATTTTCTGTATTCATTTCCCAATGAATAACATTCATACTAATCCAATATATACAACATCAAGGCAGTTCAGTAAGCTGGGTAGGTACTCCTGTACAAAAAAAAGTATACATTTTTGCCTTATAAAATTATTAGTTAATTAGACTATGTCTCACTCTAAGTAAAAGAAATTCCTACTTGAATACACTGCCTAGACATACAAAAAGTAAATGGAAATTCCTAAGGTGAGTAGAGTACATTTTCAATGGTTGTAATTCCAGCTTTTTTTTCAGTTTATTTTTTTTTTTTTAGTAATTTCACAACTAAATTTAAAAAAATACGCAACACTCGCTGTTTTCTAGGGAGAAACACTTGTGTTGTGGTTTAAACCCAGCCAGCAACTACGTACCACACAGTCACTCACTCACCTCCCTCTTCAACCCACCCTGGGCAGGATGGGGAGGAGAATCAAAAGAAAGTAAAACCTGTGGGTTGAGGTAAGAACAGTTTAATAACTAAAGTACAATATGTTACTACTACTGCTACTAATACTAATAGAAATAACAAGGGGAGAGAATATAAAAGAGAAGAAAAAAAAAAAACAAAACCAATAAACACAAGTGATGCACAATACAATTGCTCAGCACCCTCCGACCAATATTCAATATGAACTGAGCAGCAATCTGCCCCTTCTGGGTAACTCTCCACAGTTTATATACTGGGCATGATGTGTTGTGGTATGGAATACCCCTTTGGCTAGCCTGGGCCAGGTATCCTCTCTCTGCTTTCTTCTGGTTTCTTGTGCCCCTCCTCACTGGCAGAGCATGAGAGACTGAAAAGTCTTTGATCAGGGTAAGCACTACTTAGCAGCAACTAAAACACTGGTGTGTTATCAGCACTGTTCGCAGACTAAAGCCAAAACACAGCACTGCACCAGCTACTAGGAATAAAATTAAAACTATCACAGCCAAAACCAGGACAACTGGTTTTCTAACTTTCAAAATTACTTTACATTGTGACATAACTTCTATATGTATAGAATAGTTCCATTTCTGATAGGCTGGAACAAATCTTTAATGCACACAACAGTTTAGTGAACCATTCGATAAATCCAGGGATTAGTTTCATGACAGAAAAAGAGCATGACTTTTAATAAGTTTTGTTTATATTCACATCTTGAAGATCTACAATTGTCCAAGGCTTGCAATCAGGTAATCTGTCTGTGTACTCTTGAAGGCTTCATAATCAAAGTTCTTGTGGCTCTAAATAATCTGCATCACCAGTCTTTATCATTTCAAAATTACCTTTCAAAACTTTTAAGAAGCAAGTGTATATTTATCTAAATCCCACCATCATATTATCTCTACAGCTGTTGAAAACTTTCATTAAAAAATGGATTTTGTCACTTTTTGTAGCACAAAAGCAAGGTTGTCTTTAGCTTCTGATAAGGAAAATGTGGGATGAAGAACTTAAGTGGTTCTCGGAAGAAGAATTCAAAGAGCTGCCTACATATCAGATAAGGCAGTAGAGATTCACGAAACTTCGAATGAGGAGCTCTGGATTATTATAAGTGGAAGGAAAACATATTTATGATTTTGAAACAGTTGAATGATTGAGAATAGAAAGAAAGGCTACAAGCACAAACTATACCCTCTTTTGTGTTTGTTCTGAAGTCTGAAAAGTCTATTCCAGCTATTATATCCATAAATAAAGAACAAGTGAGAAAATACACAATGTAATGGAGGAGAAAATATGGAAGGTGCAGAAAAGACAAGAATATACACCAAAGGCAGGTTAGGGACCTAACATGATCTAACATGGAAAAATAAGCAGGCATAAAACCAAGAAGGAAAAAGAAATGTAACACAAGAAATTAAAAAATTAAATTAAAAAATAAAATTATCCAGTCATACTACCACAGTCATATTAACCTCCTTTGTTCCAACTAAACTTAAACCAAACATAATTAATTCATTTCCTCGCTATGTAGAATGGCTTGGAGGAAATTGTGTGACATCTTAGCCAGTAGATTCAGTCTGTTTAGCAGAAGCGTTCTGACATATGCTATGTTAGAACAATAAATTTTAGGGGTCTTTCGCTTTGATTTTTTTCCTGTTTATTTTCTAACACTGGTATATTTTTATCTTGTAAACACATACACTTAGTGGAACATAACCTAATTAAGCTTCAGATTTACTTTTTCTGCTCTTAAGCTTTGTGACGATCTTATTTTCAAACAAACCTTCCTAGTTCCAGTAGGAGTGATTCCACATCATAAAGAGAAAAATTAAGATTAAAGTTGCTTCCTTCATAAAACAAAAGCAAAGAGCGCTCTTGCACTACCTTTCTTTTGAAAGAAAAAAGGAGAGAGAAAAGAGAAAGGAGAAAGCAAGAAAGAAGACAACAACAGAAAGAAACCACAATAAAAAGATTTTTGTAAGACTGAGGAAACTACATGAATATCAAATTTTCAAATTGTGTTTGAAATTTATTATAAACTCCAGTTTATTCATATGCTAACTCATTTATCATTAAAGCATGACATTCCTCAATCACAACATATTCCCCATTAATGAAATTATTCAGATACACACAAGAAATAATATTAGTAATAAGCATTACTGCAAACGTTTTTCCCATCAGAGCAGTCAGTGAACACAAAAACCCATTATACAACAATTCTGAAAATTTTGTCAGAACTCAAGGAGAACCATGTGAGCTGCTGAATTTATTTGTTTACATCTACAGTTTGAGACGTTTATTCCAAGTCTTTTTATCTACACAGGAGGTGAAATACTACCTCTGCTAAAATCAATATGAGTTTTGCTATTGATTTCAATGAAGCCGCAATTCTGGTCACTGTATACTCTGTTTCTCTCAGGGCTTAGAAAGATTGTCAAAAAAAAAAAAAAAAAAAATCGGGCAAAGTACACCACAGGGATCCAACTGATTACAGTAACTTTTATACAGCAAATGGAAGAAAGGTTTTCTTCTATGGGAAAACTGTCCTGTTTACTTAGCACAACAATTTGTTTTGAGTCACTCTGAAGTGCTCATTGTTATGGAACCAATAAATTGAGGCTAAATGAAATTTATTGTTCGACCTCAATTAATGCTCCACCAACATTCAGGATGTCACATGGATCTGCCACTACACTGCTGAATCTTAAAACTTTATGGCAAAGGATCCAAAATGAGCAATCACCCACCTAAAAAAAGAAGGCTCTCAACCTCAAGGTGTTTCCTTGGATGGCATCCTGACCCTGGGGGAGAGGCCCCAGCTGCAGACCACTGCTCCAAGAAGGACCAACTCCAACTGACTGCCCAGTGGGGCTCCTTTTATACTCCAGTCAAATCTGACCTGTGGTCAAATAGACTCATGTAACCTCATGGCTCAGGACTCAATTTCCTTGCCACCTTCCCTGGATGTGGTGAAAGCTTTTGTAGGCTTCTGTCAGGGCAGGTGCACCTGCCACACTCATCAACAAGTGTTCCTCATAAAAGATTTCTTATGTTACAGTAGAAAATGGGTATTTTTTTCATTGATTACAAATCTCCTTATGGCAACTATTCACAGCCCATTTTGCAAAAAAGGAGTATTTATGAAATGTAAGAAATGTACAAAATGTATGAAATGTACGGAATGCATGAGATCTACGAAATATCAACATCAGTGAAACCATTTTTACATTACTACAATTATATGCAATTACAGAGTGACTGTATAATAGGAATATTTATCATACTTCACGTAGTTTTTTTCTGATTTACTCCTATTAGCTGACAGGGAAAATCTAGCTTGGATATAAGGAAGAAGGTCTTCACTGTCAGGGTGGTGAGCCACTGGCACAGGTTGCCCAGAGAAGCTGTCGGTGCCCCCATCAATGGCAGTGCTCAAGGCCAGGCTGGACGGGGCTTGAAGCAACCTAGTGTAGTGGAAGGTGATCCTGCTTATAGCAGGGGTTTTGGAACTGAATGATCTTTAAGGTCCCTTCCAACTCAGTGTTCTGACTTCAGGGTATAAAAATAGTTACTCCAATGCACTGACTTCCTCAGTGCATGAACATCTTGCACACCTTACTCTACAGAGCATAAACTCATGTCCCTCACTGTGCAGAACTGCCACATTTTACACACCATGAACCATCCATCTGCCACACCCAGATTTAAACCACTGGAATTACCCAGCCATTACCGTTGTGCAAGTTCTTCTCCAGCTGAACCACCACCAAGCCACCACATAAATTTAAAGAAATGAATAATTTTCAGCTCTTTTGAGCGTAAAAGACCATTTCAAAGCCTATGCCGTCCTAACACGCAACTGCTCACATCCCTCCCTCACGGAGGGAAAAGCCAAGCAACTTAAGAGCGCACCCAGCCTCAGGCAGGCTGACAATCTCTGCTTCCCGCCGTCCCGTCAGCCTGCAGTAACCGGCGCTGAGCTCTCACACCCGGCCATGACCAGGGCGGCTATAACGCGAACCACCACCCGAACCGACAGCGACTACCCTACCCACAAACCCGCCTACCGCGCGTGCGCCACTGCCGAAGCATGCGCACACATGCTGCCCCATCCGCCCCGCCTCGGCGGAGCGGTGTGAGGCAGCTGAGCCGCCCAGCTCCGGCCTGCCCGGCCACCGCCGAGCCAGGCCCCGTTGCGAGCACGCCCCCCTCCCCGCCCACCCGCTAGCCGTCGGGCAGCGCCCCTGATTCGGGCGGGTGAGTAACGGCAGCGGCACACGGGGCACGTGCTTTGGTGGCCCACCCCGGGCCCCCGTTGCGCCGCCAGTGCCACTGCCGGCCCCGGCGGCTTGGGAAGGGGGTAGCGAGAAGATGGGCTGGGCTGGGCCGGGCCGGGCGCCGCGGCGGAGCTCTGGGGTCATCGGGGCTGGGAGAGGCCAGGAGACGAGGGGAAGGCACTCGTCTCCTGCTGCCGTTGTCGGAGGGGCTGAGGGTGCCGCTCCGGCGGTACCTCTCTCTGCGCTCCCACGAATTCCGTCCGCCCGCCCGCGGCGGATGCTGAGCTGCTTGGCTGGGGATGGAGCTTGGCGAGAGCTCTGGCGCTCGGCTGGTCAGTGTAGGAGAAAAGCGTGAAGGCTCGTAATTTGGTGGCCTGCTCAGGGGAGGGGAGCAACGGCGTGAGCTGGCTGCGCTTCCCTTTCTTTGAGCCCTTGCTGAACAGCTTCTCTCCGCAGCTGCCCGCACTGCAGATAGCCCCGGGAACCCCGTTCACAGGTAGCTCCCGGTGAGGAAGGTTGCTGTCTTTCCGTGGTCTGCTGCTGCTCATAGTCCGTGTTCTTTCAAGGCAGGAGAAGGCTGGCATGTTGAAATCCAATACTCTTACATATAAAATAAGATGTCTGTTACATAAGAAGGAGGTGAACCTGTTAGAGCAAGTCAAGAGGAGGCCACAAAGATGCTCCGAGGGGATCACCTCTCCACTGGAGACAGGCTGAGATAGCTAGGCTTGTGCAGCCTGGAGAAGAGGGCTCAGGGGAGATCTTAGAGCAGCCTTCCAGTACCTAAGAGGGAGCCTACAAGAAAGCTGGAGAGACCTTTTACAAGGGCATGTAGTGACAGGACAATGGATAATGCCTTTAAGCAGAAAGAGGGTAGATTTAAATCAGATATTAGGAAGTTCTTTCCTGTGAGAGTGGTGAGGCACTGGCACCGGTTGCCCGCAGAAGCTGTGGGTGCCCCATCCCTGGCAGTGTTCAAGGCCAGGTTGTATGGGGCTTTGAGCAACCTAGTCTGGTGGAAGGTGTCTCTGCCCATGGCAGGGGGGGTTGGAAGTACATGTCTTTAAGGTCCCTTCCAGACCATTCTGTGGTTCTAAATATAATTCAGTGCTGCAGGCTGTCTTACCACATTTAGAACCGAGGAAGTGCAACAGGGTTGCTTTTTTGTTATTGCAGCTATCTTAAATTCAGGTATAGTTACCAAAAAAAATCACATTCCCTTCTTTGTGAATGATACAGTTATCCGTGTTAGAATTGTCATGTTTCAGATGCCTCTTTCTGAATTGGTTGGATCAAAAGCCTATTATTGGCAGTGTTTTATATCTTTTATATTTATAATGTAGGCTATAAAATGTCCGCATGCCATCTGTGATGTGGTCTTCCGAGATTTTCAGGGCTTTTTAAAAAAGTATTTAGAAAAGGACTTTTCCTAAGCAGACACTTCCAAGAAATTTCCCTTTTTTTTAAATATACCCAAGGCTCTTACAAGGAAGATGTTGTCAGCCTCTGTTGCTTTTTTATTATTAATACTTTTGTTCCCCAGGCCAGAAATCAGTTGTTTTCTGTGCTTTTGGTCTGGGCCTGAAGATGACAATTCCTGATTTGGAAAAGTGTGGTGGTAGTGAAGGGTTAACACCAACAGAGTTAACCAAAGGTCTTGAAATCTTCAGGCACTTCTCAGTGGAAAATTTGCCAAAGAAATTTCCATTTCCAATAGAAAGAATTAAAAAGACCCAAAACTGAACCAACCAAACATTTATTTGAAATATATATATTCAAATTCATAGAATAAAGAAAATTTTAATTTCACATTAGTGACTTTGAGCTCTTTTTTACCACTTGGGAACTTGATTTAGGGATGATAACATTTTTGTTATCAGTTTACATGCGTTAGCTGTGAAGTGAATTGATAGAAAAAAATGTGGAAAACAGGGAATAAAATTAAGGAAAAAAAAAAGATCAAAACAAAAGGCAGTTTTATGTCCAGGATGCATGTTGAAAGTCACACTGTATTAAAATGTGCTGCATTAATTTCAGAAAGGGATGATGTAGTGGAGCTGAAACAGTACAGAAACACCTGAAAAATGTTTATCCCATGATGGTGATACAATATACAGATCGGGCAGACTAGACATTTCTGTAAAGAAAAACTCAAGAGAACCTGATAGAAGCAGTTGAGCTATTAGTAAAGGAGAAAGTATAAGTGGTAATAATAAATAAATGTAAATTAATACTTGTTTACTGTCCCTTCTAATTTGAGAACTAGGGCGATCAAATTGAAATAGCAGGTGAGTTCCTAAATGGAAGGTGTTTTTTGATGTTGTACAAAGAAATGGCATTCTGCTCAGGAATTCCTGTCTCTGATGCACATATGGCTAAAGGTGCCTAACTATTCTGATAAAGTATTATTCTACACTGGGCCTGTTCTTTGCCCAGAGGCGGAGACTGGTCATCTAAACTAACTCATTCTTTCTGACCTGTTATGACTAGGCAAGAGAAAGGGATTAGCTGCTTAATTTATTTCTTATACACCAATGTGGATCAACAAACTTGGGGTTAGAATGGAAAAGCTGCTACTACTTGAACAAGTCATCCTATAAGTCAGAGTAACTCCCTGGATGTGAGCTCTTAATCTGCATAAAGCTGAAGTTATTCAGGCTGACTTTTTCCTACTGAGAAAGGGAATTTCTGTTAGATTCAAATGCACCCAACAGTCCAAGGCAAGGTACTTTATGAGTGTATAGGAATGACCTGTGTACCTCAGTAAATTGAAGTCAGGTTCTAAAATCTGGATGTCCATGACAGAAATGCAGAATCACACCTATGCTCTCTCTCATGGCTGTTGAATGAGAAACATGTTCTAAGATTTTTCTGGTTCCTGGAATAGACTTCAGGTAGCTGTTTCACATGGCATGTTTGCTCATTCTGTTTCCTAATATTACCGTTCTGCTGTGGCACTAGTGTTGATGAGCATAATTTATCTGTCACTGTCTTTAGAGCAGCTCTGAACAAGATCAAGTGACATAATGCAAGCATTGCCAAACTGTAGCTTTTCAGTGCAGCTTTTACAGTATAGGTATCTATGCCAGGGCTGAATTATGTCATCACTGGGATTGCTATCTCCCCAAAACACAAGGCTTTCCTATAGGTATCGCTTACTTGTTCTAGAAGTTTTGCGCTTTAGTGCTGAGCCTCTGTATGAGGGCTTAGAATATGCAGTGGTAGACCAGGGTCTCTCCTGATGCTAGTCAAATTTTAATAAGTATGCTTTCATGCTAAGTATTCCATTGAAAATATACTTGTTAAAGTAAGAACATGGAACACTAAGGTCAACACTTCAGAAGAAGCACTTTATATTAATGAAAAATTGATGCTGTAAAGGAATTGAGTAGCAGATATATCAAACAAAGAATAAAAAAGAACAGTTTCTTTGATATGGAATAGGAAGGCCCAAATTAAAGACTTTATGAACATTCTAATTATAAACATTACAATCTTTAATTCTTTTTTTACAGAAGAGGTGAGATATAATTGCAGAAGTAACATATCACTGGCAGTTTTGTATGTCGTTTGAGGAAGATCAGTAGCATCTGGGTTAAATTAAACTGAATCCATGTGAATAATATTGTTTCCTTAAAAAAATAAAAAAATCCTGACCTCATAGGAAACATCAGTTTGTCTAATCAGAAAATTGAGTTAAACTCCCAGGGAGGGATAGCATGATTGACTAGAAAGGAGACAGGAAAAGTAGTACAAGTAATTAAATGTATTTAAAGTTAATTTCTTATTGGAAAAAAAAAAAATGTTCTGGACTCCAAGTAATCTCTTTGACAAAATTCTAAGATCTTGGAGTGGATTGTGAGCTAGAGAAAAAAATCCCTGTGATTTGATGTGAAGTGATATCAGCCCTGTTAATGAAAAGTCTTTAGTACCATAAACATAGATGGTGTAAAATAATTTTTCCTGACACTAGCCAAAGGTATGTATGGTTTCACAATCCAATTGGGCAAAATGAGCAGCATCATTTTTGTTCCCTTCCCCTATTTGTGCTGTTAACTCATTTGTTGGCATTAGTGCTGTGGTACTCAGTCAGTTGGGTCAGCTCTGTAAGAAGGTAGAAGTGCATAGGGGTGTTCTATTGTTTATTTTGGGGATGTTAACAGGATCTTGCTGCTGACATGTATGAGTGACATTACTGTGAAAACCAGATGAATTCCAGAGGTAACTAAAAGTAAACAGATGAACAGATTAAGTTTGGAAATGGAAGCAAAACTTCCCTTTTTGGCAGTGTCATGTTGCTAATCCAGTTCAGACTGTGTTGTTAAAAAGGATATTCTAAAACTCCTTATCTGAGATTATCACATCTGTAACACAGAGTGTTGTGACAAATGAGCTATATGTTAATGCAGTTTAACATTGGACATTGGTAGGAAACTAAGGTGAAGCACTTCATAAGTATTTTAACAAGATCTCTGTGTATCTCAGTGCATTAAAGTAAGATTCTAAAATTTAGAGGTTGGTGGTAGAAATACAAAATCACAGCTATGCTTCGTCTAATGGCTGTTGAATCAGAAATTTATTCTAAGATTTTCTAGTTCAGCGTTGTCACTTTTATGCATAATCTTGTTCCGCATAATTCTATGATAACCTAAATTTCACTAATCCTTGTCTCAGGCTCTCTTGTGTTGAATATTGAACAGGAATTAAAGTTACAAATAATTAGGCATTCAGTTATTCTCTGTTTCTTCCCTCTACTTTCAGGGCTCAAATCTTGTTGTATACTGTTGGTCTTGTTTTGAATTTAGTCCTGGAATTCTACATGAAGTGTCATGCAGCTGTGACATTGAACTACCAGGCTGCCAGCAGCTAATTTTCGGGCTTTCTGATTGAGGTCCATCCTTAATGATGTGCTGGGTTTTTTTTTGTTTATATAATTCATAAAACAAATCAGAATTTTAAATCTCTGAAGTTGCAAAGCATCATTTCTTTGAGTTTAATTTGCCAAAGTACATAATCAGTGCATTGCTTAGCTAAACACAGTGTGGTTGGTCCGAAGCCAGTCAATAGGTTAGCAAATGAAATCTGCATTTGGAATATAAGATGTACTTCTGTCTTATCCCATTTTGTCATTTAACTCTTGTTCTGCTACATTTTAATCCTTCCTGGCTCCTACTTTTTACCTTCTGTTTTCTGTGCTGTTTCTATCAGACTTGTCAAAACATGATACTTCTGAAATAATATAACTGGAATTTCCATTTCAGGGGATTTGTTTGGCTTAGGAAAACAACAAAGTTCAAAAAGAAGGTGTTTTATAAAATATATGAGTCCTTGGGGGTAGAGCCTGACACACATTTTCAAATACAGAAATGTTTTTTGTCACCCATTGCCTCGCCTTGGGCTGTTAGTTATGCAGTTCGTGTGTGCATCACATTTTTCTCTACATTATTTCTGTTATGTAGAAACTTTATGAAGCATTTCATACTGTTGAATTAGGTAATAAGAAATCTGACCTTAAAATATTTGTCTTTTGATCAGTTGCGGCCAAACTCCTTCTGTTTGGATTCTGAACTATGACATCATGGCAAGATTTCGCAGAAGAACATGCATCATTTTGTTGCTTTTTATTTTGTTTATTTGCTCCATAATGATGGCTTTGAAGACCCTGAGACCTGACAGAGCTGGCTTTGGGGATCCATTTGGACTTGGTTTGTTGCCCGAGCTTCAACAACGGACAGTGCACTTAGACAATAAACAGAATTCACTAAATAGGGTTCAAGGAGATACTGTAACGCATGTCAATAATTTGCATAGTGTTGCAGTCAATACTATGAAAGCATCTATGCCTCCTGTAAACAAGCTGGAAGAAGAGCTATCACCTCCTAATTATAACTTTCACATATTCTACTATAGTTGGTTTGGCAATCCACAGTTTGATGGTAAATACATTCACTGGAACCATCCATTGTTGCCACACTGGGATCCCAAAATTGCAAACAACTATCCAAAGGGAAGACATAGTCCTCCTGAGGACATTGGGGCCAATTTTTATCCTGAACTTGGATCTTACAGTTCCAAAGACCCTTCTGTCATAGAAGCCCACATGAAGCAAATGCGTGCAGCTTCAACTGGTAATGGATGTTAAAATTTCAGCATGTTGTTCGTTTATCCATCCTTAAATATATGAATGAACACAACTGACCCATTCTTCCATTTTTATATGTCATTCTGGAAATGAGAATGAACTACTAAATGTCTTTGTATTTCTGAGTTTTAAGTCCCAGCTCAAACGTACATCTTCAGAGCTGTGTTTGATGAGTGGAACAGCACAGAAATAGAAGAACTGCATGTGTTATCCTTTAGGTTGCATGTTTTATGACTTACTGTTAAGCACTATAGCATATGTAGAAAATACAGAAAATGCTGTTAGAATAGTTATTTTTTGAAATTAATACTTCAGTTTTAAAAACAGGTTTCAATAAATCCTGTTAAGATGGTTGTGGAGCAGTATGTTCAAATAGGGGCTTTGTTTTTCTGAATTTTTTGTGTGCAGTAACAATTGTGTATTAATACGTGTATCAAAGAGCATGTAGAATTATAGCTTTTATGCAATTAAAATTTTATACAGTGTGTTTATAGTTCTTACTGTCTATGCAAACATCTAATCCAAACCTTGAACTCGGGTACAGTAGTTTCAGTGTAGCTAATTATAGTTAATTTCTTTGTCTAAACATATATTTTTTTCCCAACACAAATTGATATTCCCCTTATCAAAATAAGATAGGCTATATACATAAGAATATTCAGTATTTCTTAGGTGTCATTTTCTGTTGTTGGGCTTTATGGTCTTTGTTACATTTATCTTCTTTAAAATAAGTAGTCATATAGGTTACTATTAAACTCTGAAGAGCTTCTGTAAATGTAGTTGGCGCAACATGACCAGAGCTCGTAGCATTATTTAGAGTGCTAATCACATTGAATTGAATCACTTTGATTCACCCAATCAAGGTTTGATTTAAATGTTGTGTTCCCATTAGTAGTGTTTACTTGTATAATGGTTACTTCTTGGATATTGTTTTCTCTTGTTTTTTAACCTAACCTGTGTTTTGTACAAGGGTTAATACAAATGTAGGAAATTTCTCATCCTTTTCCGTAATACAGTAACATTAACAAGAACACCAGCAACTGTGGGAAGACTGTTGCAGAGAAATCTCTCCTATTAGTTGCCAATAAGCACTTTTTTAGTCTTTTAATACAAATGTAGGAAATTTCTCATCCTTTTCCATAATACAGTAACATTAACAAGAACACCAGTAACTGTGGGAAGACTGTTGCAGAGAAATCTCTCATATTAGTTGCCAATAAGCACTTTTTTAGTCTTATCTAAAGCAAAATAATGCATGTTATATGATGAAAGCAAGAGGGCACTTGTAGCTTCAGAAGAATCTGATGTTTCTTATCTTAATGCAGATGTCTAATAAAGCTGACCTGCTGGTAGAAAAGGTGCCAAATACTAGCGAAAATACCTTGCAAAAGAAGCTCTTTTAGTACCTTAGTTTTCCATTTAAAACTCAGCAGTGTGAAAGAATAGTTCTTCCTTACTGTGACATACTCTTTGTAACATATTACTTGTATTTGTCAAAAGTGATTTTTTTTCCTGCTGCTATTCTGGCTTATGGGTTTAAGTATATATATGACCAACATAAATCATCAACTTTTTTCCTCAAGTTGTTACTTCTCATATGTTTGTTTGTTTGTTTGTCTTAAATAAGAATTATACTTGGTTCATTTTTGTGTACTATAAGGTTAACTATTTGCAGTTCCTTCTTTTTGAATCTTAGCCAATGTCTAATCTATGACTGCATTTTACATTCTGTCAAATAATTTTTCTTCTTTTCTTGAGGCTTTATCAAGGAACTTACAAAAGGAGAAATATGTAAGTGGTTCTTTCAGCCAGTGTAGTGTAATGATCAAAGGCGTATAAGAGATTGGAGCAGCAGGAGTCTCATGCAGTGCTTCCTTGTATTCTTGTATTTTAGAATTCTTATTTATTAATTTTGTATTTTGTAACAGATTAATACAATAGATTTTATTCCTCAGGTTGCTTTATGAAATTTATTTTCTTGCACCAGCCTGTTTTTGTGGTAGTCCAGTCTGAAGTCCTTAATTTGTCTAGGTGACTACTCTGGTTTAAAACACTGTTGGTTTTGGCATTGAGTCCATCTTCTTTTAGTTTCCTGAAGTGGTACATAACTGTTTTTAACCACAGGAAGGAAAATATTAAGTAGCATTTCATGGGGCAGGACTAATGCAAATGTGATTTTACGTTCCTTGATGAACAGTTACGTCTCCTGAACTTTTCTCTGTTTCCTAAAGGTATAGCAGACGTTGTATTCAAGGTACCCTGAGCATAACCTGAGTCTGCTGTTACTGTTCTACTTTACATCTTACTCATCAAAAGATGGGTGGTAAAATATTGCATTTTTCTTGTTCTTGAGCAGTTAGTCTATTATTTGCAATTCTGTTTTTGATAAAATGTGGAGAGAATGTGCTGATGGTAGTTGAACTAAGTTCTATAGTGACCTCAAATTTCTGGTTTTCATGTTAGATGAGTATGTATTCATGCTGATTTATGATTTCTTTTTCATAAATTTGGACTTTTTTTGGAAATTGTTAGAAATGTTATGAAGTTAGTAAAATAGATGGAATTTAGAGTATATACTTTGCTATCTCAGTCACCTGATTTGTGTACTTAAGTCTTTGCGTAGTTAAAAAAAAATCACATTCGCTTATTCTTTGACATGTTTTAAATAGTATTTAATGTATTTCTTTCTGGCTTACCTACTTCCTGATATTGTTTCCAGTCCCATGCCTTAAAGTTCTAATTTACTTATCTGGCAGCATTTTATTTTAGAAGCAAGGGACTTAGCCTGTCTGGAGAGGTGTGTGTTCGGAGAGGAAAAATTACAGTATAGGGACATTGTATTTGTTCTCGTCTTTTTTTGACAGGAGTAGTAACATTCTTAAACTATAGGGAATCACTCAAGCATTTTTTTTTAGGTAATAAATTTAGAACTAATTTCACATGGTTGGAAGGGTGGATTATACCATAATTGCTTTTAGCAAGAATGAAGGTTATGGGATTACAGTCACTGTTTGTAGTATGAAGTGTTTTTTTTGTAATGCAGCCAGATGTACAATGCAGAAATACAGTGGGCAATAAAGTTTCATAAAATAAGAATCTCTTAACACATGCATAGCCCTCATCTTTTGAGTGTTCTGTAACCCTATGTATCATGGTATTCTTTGGCATAGCTATAGTGCCTTAGTTGGGAGCATTCTCTTCCGCTTCATACAACCTGGAGGTTAGAATGCTGTGTTGAAAAGTGGGAGGAAATGGTTCTAAGTGTTAGGCTTGGGACACTGAGTTGTCTGTTGACGCTGATCTGTTGTCTTGACAGGTGATCTTGCCACTGTTTGTTTTGTTGTTTTTTAAACAATAAAAGAAGTTAAAATCCACTCTGCAAATACTGAGATCTCATATTTGTTAAAAATATGAAATTCTAATTTGTATATATATCTTTCACATCAAACAGTAATTAAAACTCATGACAGTATTACATTGTGCATGTTTAACATACAACATGATTTAAAACTTAAGTTTTGTATTTTCAGGTGTAATAGTGCTTTCATGGTACCCACCAGGTATGGCTGATGAAAATGGAGAACCAACTGATGATTTGGTGCCTGTTATTTTGGATTATGCACACAAGTATAATCTAAAGGTAAAGTATTTTTAAGATGCATAAAATAGCACTGTTTAGTATTGTAACCTTGCTAAAAGGTTAAACTACAGATATTAAACTATATTTGACTTGTATAGACCAGGGAGTCTTGTCATGTAATGGTGACTTCTGTTTGTGTCTCCTGTTGCACTGTGTGCTTCCTTTGATTCATGGAACCTAAGCAGTGCTTACCCCAATCAAGGACTTTTCAATCTCTCATGCTCTGCCAGTGAGGAGGGGCATGGGAAGCTGGGAGGAAGCAGAGACAGGACACCTGACCCAAGCTAGCCAAAGGGGTATTCCATACCACAGCACGTCATGCACCGTATATAAACTGTTACCTGGAAGGCCCAGATCACTGCTCGGGTTGGGATGGGTATCAGTCAGCAGGTGATGAGCGGTTGTATTCTCTCCCCCTGTTATTTCCCTTATCATTATTATTATTGTTGTAGCAGTAGTGGTTTGTGTTATACCTTAGTTACTGGACTGTTCTTATCTCAACCCGTGGGAGGTACATTCTTTCTATTCTCCTCCCCATCTCTCCCTGAGTGGGGGGATGAAGAAGCGTCAGGGGGAGTGAGAGAATGTCTGCGTGGTTCTGAGTTAACTGCTGGGATTGAACCACAACAGCTATGATAGGCCTTTTTTCTGTTTCGGTTCAGATCTGAAGCTTACAGAATCTGAGGTGTGGTGGTGTGGATTTCTTAATTTTATTTTTAGGAAACCGTTTTTAAAGTTCATCCATCGGTTGTTTTCAGATGAGTCTTGGGTGTTGAGGAAAGCATTATTTTTTCAAAATACTATGGAATACAATGATCAGTAAACTAAGGATCTTTTGAAGAAAGACTAACCCCTTTTTTTACATTGCCTTAAAACTTGCTGGCACCTGATTGTAGAGGTCAGGAGTAAGCATCTATGAATAACAAAGAGGGACTTAGAAGTTCTAGTTTGAATGAATGTCATTATTCCAGAAGGTATTAGGAACATTTCCCTTGGACAGTAAGGTCAAAGAGGTGCTGCTCTGACTTTAGATTACTCCAGGGCATGACAGCATAGAAAGGCTAAATTACTGGCTTTCTCAAACAGATGAAATATCAGATTAATTAAGGACAATGTGAATTGATCAGTAGAATATAAAATCATGGTTAGATTTGTTTTTTTTTTAGTATAAAACTTGTTTTTTTTGCTTGGGATAAAGAAAACATGCATTGCCTTTTAGTCTTGCTGAGTAATAAATGTGAGGTTTTAGATTATTTAAGTAGCTGTATGTGTGTCATCTCTGTATAGTGTTGTCTGTACTGGGGACTAAAAATATAGTCTGCTCATCCACTCTGGTTTTAGTTATGCAAGTTGCAGATTCCTAGGGAAATCTGCTGTCAGTAGTAGTATCTGTAGATTATTTGGCAAGCAGGAGGAAAGTAGGAAGGTTGAATTGCATAGAGAAGTAATTTTGAAACTGTTAAAAATGCTGTGTGAATTACATTATATGACATGAATTGCACAGATGTAACGGTAAATTATTAAAAAGAAAAATTGAAAACATTATCCATCCCTAAAATTTTCTGATTATCTGTCTAAAGGAGCTTGCTCGCATATAAAACTTGTTATCATTCAAGTCTATCAAAACAGCCAAGGCAAAATGAAATACTCTGCGAAGGAAAATGCATGTAATAGTATGGTGATATTAGAATATGGATGGAAATGATGTTACTGCTTGGGATAATTACTGGAATACAGGTATTAACTATACCTACTACCAGGGAATGCTGCCTAAATGCTGTAAGGTTTTTTAAACATTCTTGCACTAGTAAGTGTTAGGAATGTTGGTAGACCAAAACCAACATACAAAATACATTTCTGTTATGTCTGCTAAAAGATACGTCCTTTTGTTTTATCTGGTTTTGATAGTTGGTAATGAAATATGAAATTACAGTGCTCTTCAACTTGTCCTGCCAGTTGTAGTGATTTAGTCTAACACTGTATTTTTCTGTAGTTTGTACTTAATAGAGATAGATACTGGCTTCCTACAATGGAATTTTGCTACTGTTGCAGGGTTGTTGAATATTTTATTAAATGCCTTCTTCTTTAAAATGGCTTCTGAAAAACTAGCTGCTTGGATTAATGTAATATACTCTTCCATTTAATTGTATATTTGAAAACAGTGGCAATTTTCATTGAAATTACTTCACATATATAGGTTAAATAATTATATAAACTTCAAGCTTGAAATGCATAACAGTAGCAGTACATTATATTAGATTTAGTTCCAAGGATTTATTGCTGTTGATTAATCTATAAAATTTTAAATTATAATTTTCATATCTTGTATCTCAAAATCTGTTTTGACACTGAAAACTCTCCTTGGAGAATTATCTATGGCAAATTTAATACATTGTTTAGAAATTAAATACTAAAATTTTTCTTTGGATAATAAGTTCTTTGACATTCACATAGATAATAGTTTATTTCTGTTTTCAGTTTCTGATGTAGTTTTTTTTAAGTTTTCTGAAGTATGTTTCTGACTTGCTGTAGCCTAGGGAAAAAAAAAATCCAACAGTGTGTTTTGGGTTTTTTGGTTTTGTTTTGTTTTTTTAAAAAACCTAAATATTTACTCTGTTACCATACTTCCTTGGATCTGACGCATCTAATCTTAAGAGTGCAGGAATTGAATTAGGGTTCGATTATTCTCAAAATAGACAAATGAAAATGTTTGCTCTGTAAAGAGAAACTATGTTTAATGTGACCGGTACTCGCTTCATGTATTCAATAGTATTTTACATTTGTGTTGCTCTTACTGTGATTTCATCTTTCAGGTCACTTTTCATATTGAACCTTACAAAGACAGAGATGATCGCAGTATGTACCACAATGTCAAATACATCATTGACAAGTGAGTTCTTCCACAATGCTTTCCTTTGGGGTTTGTTACATGCTGGTTTACGGGACTTCTGTATATTGTCTAAAGCTTGGAAGTATATACAAAAATGTGTACAAAGACTGAAGAGAACTGTAAGAAACTTTGTTCATGTTATAGTGGTATGTAACTCAGTCTGATTTTTAAATAGAGAAGGTGAATTTTATGTAGAACTCAAATGTAAATTGCTTTCAACATCCATTAGTATCACAAGTCATGATACTTCAGATTAAAACAAAGTGGTAGCTACATGATATATAAATAAAACATATATTTTTATAGTGATAAACTAGCAGCTAAAGCTTTAATGTGTTGAACTCTAGTGATTTTAATCCATCTTGACAAATTCTGTACCGTTATTAGTTGTTTTGTTTGTTAGTGTCTGTTGTACTGTCTTATTTAATACTAAATTGACCTCCAGAAAAAAGCTAATTCCTGTTGTGGAGTTTGTTACTAATTTCTAGTAATTCAGAGGTTTCTGCAGATTCATTATTTAATCTTTCAGCAAACACTGGACTGAAAATTTATATGAATTACTATGTACATACACTGTCTGGTTACATTATTTTTTGGAAATTATTTCAGTTTCCAAATGGCAAATTTTGTATTAACGATACTTGTTTGCTTTGTAGATATGGAGGCCATCCAGCCTTTTACAGGCATAAGACCAGCACAGGCAGATTACTTCCCATGTTTTACGTTTACGATTCTTACGTAACAATTCCTGAAATATGGGCAAATCTGTTAACTGTTTCTGGATCCCAAACTATTCGAAATACACCATATGATGCATTATTCATTGCACTTCTTGTAGAAGAAAGACATAAGCATGACATTCAGAGAAGTGGCTTTGATGGAATGTACACGTACTTTGCCACCAATGGCTTCTCCTATGGCTCATCTCATCATAATTGGGCAAGTTTAAAAGCCTTTTGTGATAGTAACAACTTGATGTTTATTCCAAGTGTGGGGCCAGGGTATATTGATACTAGTATCCGACCGTGGAACAATCACAATACACGTAATCGTGTCAATGGGAAATACTATGAGACTGCTTTCAGTGCAGCCCTTTTGGTGCGACCAGAAATTATTTCTATTACATCTTTTAATGAATGGCATGAGGGAACTCAGATTGAAAAAGCCGTCCCCAAACGGACTGGACAAGTGGTTTATCTTGACTATAAGCCACATAAGCCGAATGTTTACCTAGAGCTTACTCAGAAGTGGTCTGAGAAGTACAGAAAAGAACAAGAACAGTGGCTTATGTAAGCTGTTGCTGCTGCAGTTGTTTTTGAACACCTTGACTACATTGGGAAAGAAATAAAGATCTGAAAAATCTGTTACTAAGTATCCTTATTATAGGTGTGGTTGAATTATATCTCTTGAATGTGTTACTACTTGAATACGCACTACTACTGAATTTGAATTTTGATGAGTAAAAGTATGATAAGAATATTGTCATATCTGTCTTACTGAGTATTGCAGTTTAGGATTCTTCAGGGAAAATGATGGGACTTTTTTGTTGTTTTTTAGATGTCATAACTTGCATGCTGAGCTTCCAGTACATGTATGGCATAATTTTACATGACCAAAGTAGAACAAAAATTTGGCTTAGTTAACCTTACTTTCTTTATTCTTGTAGTTGTCTTTCTAATCAAAGTGATGCTGTAATCTGAATTTTTATACTGGTAGCTTCTCACAGGATGCATGTCTGTGGTGTGTAGAATAATATGCATCTGCTGGTTTTAATGCTTTGCACACAGGGCATTCTTGACATGTGACTAGCTTGTGGTAAAAACACTGAAGAGGTGTGTGTGATGCAACACTAGTGGATTTTGGTGTTGTTTTTTTTTAAAGTGAAAGATTGCATTCCAAAGAACTACTGAAAGCTGCTGAAAGATACCTGGTTTACTTCCATTTGTTCTGTTCAGTGCATGGTGCAGACTTTTGCAGATTACTGGATACTAACCGGTAGCATAGTTTTTTCTATGTTAACTTGAATTTAAAAAAATTTGAATTAACCTGAGAATGGAATAGATTTTTTTTTGAGGGGGAAGAACACCTAAACATGCAGAAAATATACTAAATCTTCCATTGTTATGTTGTCTATTAACTGACTGCAGACACATCTACTGTGTTTTTTTTAAATGTTTAAAGATTCTAAACCTAGTATCTTACTAGTACTACAATAAATACAATTTTAGGAAAGTTTTGATTTAGAAGAAGTTTGGTTTGGTAGAAATTACACCAACTACCCATTAGTTTAATTTAAAATCTGAGATTTCTATTTTTCATCTAGTTGATCTAGTTGTTCCAGGTTTCAGAATAGCAGATCCTAAAATCTTGTTATTATTCAGATTTTCTCCCTACCAACACTGCTTGCAATGTTGTAGTGTGGCTGGAAATAAGTACTTTCAGATGTGTCTCCTCAGCAATCCTCTTTTTCTCTTTTTGGGGGGCATTTTTCGTACAACTTCATAGAAAATTCCTGAATTTTGGAATATAGTAAAAATTTCAGTGTTTTATTTGCAGCAGTGTTTATTCTGTAACAAAGTGGCTTTTTTTTTTTTTTTTTTTTGTGGTAGTGGTTTTATGGGTTTTTTTGTCTGTTTGGTTGGTTGGTTTTTTTTGGTGGGGTTTTTTGGGGGGTTGGTTGTGGTTTTGCTTGTGGGTTTTTTTTAATTTATTTATATGCAAGGTGCTGGTCCTGTGTTTTAGTTCGTATGCTGAAACTGTTGTGACCTCTGGAATTCCACTAATTTCAGCAGGACCCATAGAAATGACATTCTTTGCTTGGTTCTCACAGTAATCTGTCCATGAAATTCTAAGGTGAATATGAGGACTTCTGGTTAAAAAAAGAAAAAAACAAAACCAGTATGTTGTTTTTTTTTCCAGAAACCTTTATCATTCCAAATAAATATAAGTGACTTAACTACTCATATTTTCTGGAGTCTTTCTGGTATGAAAAAGGTTTGTTTATGTATCTTTCACTTATTTACAGTTTTGTCATTTGTCTGCAGTTGTTGGAGATGAGGTGTCTTATATTGCCCTCAGATGCTTGAAAAAAATGCAGAAATTAAGAGACACATATACCCTGGTGTGTTGAAGTCACCTCGAGTTATTGGAGTCTTATTATTCATAGAATCATAGAATAGTTAGGGTCAGAAAGGACCTTAAGATCATCAAGTTCCAACCCCTCCTGCCATGGGCAGGGACACCTAACACTAAACCATGTCACCCAAGGCTCTGTCCGACCCAGCCTTGAACACCATCGGGGATGGAGCATTCACAGCTTCCCTGGCAACCCATTCCAGTGTCTCACCAGCCTCACAGTAAAGAACTTCCTCCTTATATCTAATCTAAACTTCCCCTGGTTTAAGTTTTAACCTGTTACCCCTTGTATTATTATCTCTTTATAATTTTCTGCATTTTCCTACTTCATTTCTGCAAACTCCAAAGTGCTTCTGAAAGAAGTGTTTACTAATGCTTATTTTGTTTTACTTCTGGTCAGGTGGATAAACTGAAGTAGATACAAGCATGACCATAGTCACAAAATAGCCCCTGAGACATACAAAGCACTTGCTAAGCTTTTAACCACTTCCAGGTTAACCACTAGCTCCCTTTATTAAGGAAACAGATTATACTTTTTTCCTATAAATCCCTTAAGTAGCTCTAGATATTTTTTTAAATAGAATTTGTTAATGCTTATGCTTTTACAGCCCAAAGAGCCCATATATTTATTTTAAATATGAGATAATTATTAAATTTTTTGCATATAAGTATTGCATATATTATTAAAAAATCTTCTGAACTGAAACCTTTTTAAAGGACAAGTCTTTTTGTTTTCCCTTTGCTTAAACTTTTGTCATCCACCAATCTTTTCTCACTGTAGTTGTCTGAGCACTTTACTAGTCTTGACAACCTTGCACTCCCTTTTCAGCTCCTTTCTTTCTCCCAGTGGCAATTTTCTCTGTGCCTATAAATGTTGCTCTTTTTGTTGCTGTTTATAGAAATATTTGAAATTTGTTGTATTGTACAACTGAGGTGATCTGTCTTGTTTAGAATATAATTTATAGTAACAGTGTAAGGGATCTTCATTACTTTGGCAGGCTTCCTTAATTGCTGTAAAGGTGTCATTTAGCTATGATGTGGTATTATGGGCCATGCCACACTGGTGTCTAATGGGATCTCTACAAGAATTTATAGAATTTCTCTAGAAAAGAATTAAAATGAAGTGCCTAGAAATTTATTTCAGCTGAGCATTTATTGTATGCTTGATGTGCTTTAAAATGTACATATGCAACTCAGTAAAATATTTCAGAGTTTAGAATTTTATTTGATGATCCTCAGTAGAGCTGATGAAATAGCAGCTTCTGGAACTACCCTGCCTGCATGCTCAATACTTTCTCTATTCTTAGAGTAAATACTAGCGCTGCTTCTTGTCATAGAGAATATAGACTTTTGCCAATAGACTGCTGCTACAGCTATGATAGTTTTTGGAAATTTCAGTTCCAATTTGTCTGTGGGAGAGGCTTTGCACAAATGTAAAGGAATAGGAGCATTACAAATGCACAGATATTGGTGTGAGATGGGGGAAGGTGAATGTATTTAGAAGGTGATTGCTCTAACCTTTACAGTTACAGAAGCTTTACAGTACAGCAACCAGCACTGGGAGGGAGGGAAGAATATTTATTACAAGTTTGTAATGGAATGGAATTTAAAGAATATTCAGACCCTAGTTCACTTTGGCTTCACACCCCAATTATTTCTTTACTAATTGAAAAAAAAATGTATTAATGATTACTTTTAATTTTTTACACTGATTAACTGCATTTGACTCATCTTGTTATATAGTATATTATAGTACATAAAGTGATATACCACATTTATATAGTGTTCAAGAAACTCCGTGAGAAGTTTTAACACAGATCATGCCATACTATGCTTTTGCAAATACAGAAATACCTGAAGTTATTGATCACATACTACTGACTGAGTATACCCAGAGAGGAAGTGGTTTCTGAGGCAAGCAGCAAGTCTTTGTGGTAAAAGAGTTCTTTTTTTAAAGAAAACCCGTGGTTTAATTTCTGCTTCTGTCAGTTCTGATCAAGTAAATTGTTTTAGTTCTGTGAGCTGTCTCAGAACTGAAACTTAAGATATCTTCTCTAAGAATTTATATTAAATCCTATATTGTAGTGCATGTTTCTCAGATCTATACACTTGTACTGAATTTTGAGGGAAAGAACATGTGCATATGCTGTTACTATTTCAGTGGCAAGCTGTAGATTATTGTGAATGTAGTTTCTGTACTGATCATCATGTTTGTCCAATGCCTTTCTTTTGAGGTGCCAATAACTTGTCTCTTAAGAGGTTGTTGAAGCAGAAGGATCTTTAGTCCCATTTTTATTGTGAAACTTAGTATGTATACATTCTGCATAGTTTGAATTAACACATTTTACACATGGTTCTTGGGTTCTCTTGAAAGCATTTCACAGGAGTGTTTTCAGCACTATTTCTAGTAGGAGGACGTATCTCTGGGCACATGTACAAGGATATACTGTAATTTAGGGCACTTTTTGGTGAATCTTGTATATCTAAAAGGAATTAAAGTATTTACAGACAAATTATTTATTGCTTAATGTAAGCTGAAAATCTCTCTCCTGGTCTTGAGGTATTTTGCAAGTGTTGCTCCTCATCTTTCTGTTTGCATAAGATAGTGTCAATATTTCATTCCTTTTTTCATTTTTTACTTTTGACCAGCATGTTAAATGTTGCATAAATTTCTAAAGTGGTTGTATTTCTAAGGCTTCATAGTTGTAATATTCGGTAAAGAGAATCTACAAGATTAGTGGTACTGCAGAAAAGCCTGATATGAATTTGATATTGTATGGGTATGATTTTGTTGTGAACGTATAGTGTATCTTTCCTATGTATTGAACATGAATAAAAAAGATACATTTCTTTTAATACCCTACCTGGCTGTGGCAGAGGTGCATTTGTTTACATGCATACATAAAAACAAGTGTGTGTGTGTCTATTTATATATATCGTATATGTGCATAAAACTGAAGTTATTATTTTTAAAGTACTATAGCCCATTAAAATGACAGGCTGGATTCTGCTACTTTTAAGCAAGAAATGTTTTTAATTCCCTGTGATGTTTACAAAAAACCTCATTGCTTATGTATGAGTACTTTCATACACAATAAATACATACCCAAAAGTGTGATTTAAATGGAGTGTGTGATAATAGTTTTATTGAGTTGTCCTGGGTTCAGCAGTAGCAGTCATTTTTCTCCTCCTTGGTAGCTGGTGCAGTGCAGTGTTTTGACTTTCGACTCGGGAACAGAGCTGATAACAAGGATGTTTTGGTTTGGCCAAGGACTTTGTGAGCCTCATGCTCTGCCAGGAGGGGAAGCCGGGAGGAAGCAGGGACAGGACACCTGACCCAAACTGACCAAAGAGGTATTCCATACCACAGCACGTCATGCCCAGGATGTAACTGGGAGTTAGCCGGAAGGGCTGGTAGACTGCTGGGTTGGAAGAGGTATGGGTCGGAGCTTGGTTGGGCTTGGGGGGGCGAGTTATCGGTTTGCTGGTGGTGAGGTGATGTATTCTCTTCCCTTGTTATTTCCTTTATCATTGTTATTATTGGTGGTAGCAGTAGTGATTTGTGTTATACCTTAGTTACTAAACTGTTCTTATTTCAACCCGTGGGAGTTGCATTCTTTTCGATTCTCCTCTCCATCCCTCCAGGAGTAGGGGGAGGGAAAGAAGGGGGGGAATGAGTGAACAAGTTACCTGACTGGATTTAAACCACAACATGAGTTTAGAAAGTGAATTTTTACTTTTTGATTTAGGATTTAATTAGACTGAAAACAACAGGCTTATCACAGTGCATTTAAGCAGACAGTAAGTTTTCAGGCCCATTTGTATTACATCTTATTGTGCTACTAAGTGAGTTCATTTGTGCATAGTGTATCAAGGTATCTAGTGTTGCAGGTATCTTTGACTTCCAAGGTACGACTGTATTTTGGCAAAGTAAAATCGAAGTTTACCATTCATACAGAAGTTCAGGAGGGATGGGGTGTACAAACAGGCTCTCAGGAGAATGGTTTACAGTACACGATGGAGAATACTACAGTGGGGTCAAAGAAGTATTTGTTGATAGTATGTTGTGCTGTTCAGGTATAAAAACTCTAGAAGGTAAGGCTTGCTGTTTCACTTAAGTTTCATGGAAATGCGAAATTACCTTTTTGGTACTTGAAACATGTCTTGTTCTTCCCAGCAATCTACCTACCTTGGTAAGAAAGCAATTGAAGCTAATTCACACTTGTCAGTACTGTGTATTTCTGTACATCAATAAAAAGTATTGTGAAATGTTGAATAATTTCATAATTTCATATTTACTTTTTGTAGCACACTGAAAGTGACTCCTGTGGAATATTTTGTTTTACAATGCAAATTATTTCCTGAAAATTTCCTGTCCCAGAAAATGCAAGAGGTAATCAACACAGAGTTTAATTGATACTTTAGTAGGAGACTGGGAAGTACTTCTCCATTTCAGTAGATAAATAACCTCCTAGGGTATTTCATGTCACTTCATGTGAATTTAGTAGAAAGAAGAAAGAACAATGACAGAGTATTTATTGCCTTTTTAATCTAATCTGATCACTTTCTATACAGTGTATGGAATTATATTCTGTAAATTCTGTGTGAAAGATGAGGAAGAAAGAATATTCAATTGTTTTCTTTCTTCAGCTGGGCGGTGTAGATGGAGGAAACAGGAATACAACGAAAAGCATCTATAGCTTTCTTCTTTTAAACTTCAGTTTAGTCAAATTTTTAAAAAAGATTCTGTGAAAATAATGGAATATCCAGAAGTAATCAGACTATTCAAGTTCACTTCCTACAGTCCTGTATCTAAAAGTTTGGATATTAATGTATTGAACTTTTCATAATTAGAGAAATATATAAAAGACACAATTTTAGTTAGAAAAGATGTTTTGAAAAGTATGAAGAGGTGTTTTGCTAGGTATGCATAGAGCTAACACAGTAGCAGGTGCCTTGAGTTTAATTTGGAGGGGATTTGATACGCTGAAATGGGCACTATGCGTCTGAGACCAGGAGCTGGTCTTCAGAGTTAGTTTTATAACTTGAAGTCATTGGTATGGAAATACAGCATGATCTCAAGACTGATTTCTCAAAACTACAATGTGATACAACAAATAAAGAACAGAATAGAACTTTGGTTTTAGAATCGTAGTGAAAGACAAGGCTGCTAGTTTGTTGTGTTTTTAATAGAAACTTCTTGGAAAATTCTCATGTACTAGTGTAGAAAAGATTTTTATCATAAAGCTAAGATGGTCTGCTGATTAAGATCATGTAGCCAGTTACAGTTTGATAAGTATGAATTTATATATGACAATTTATGTATTTCAACAATATTTCATAATGTCATTACCACTAATCAAAATAATAAAAATGACTAT